CCTGAGGTTTGGCCATTTAGGGAGTGAACCAGCAATGGATGGAAGATCTTATTCTCTATGCTTTTCTGCCTTTCAAATAAATAAGTAAATCTTAAAAGAAATAAGCTCAAAGATACAAAGTGTGACACATAAAACTATAAAACACGATAAAAAATTGAACTACACAAATAAATGAAAAGTTATCTGATGTTAATGAAGTAGTAATATTGTTACAACGGCCATATGACCTTAAAGCCATCTACAGATTCAGTGCAGAACTAATCAAAGTTCCAACACTTTTCACAGAAATAAAAAGCAATTATAAAAGTTGCGAGGAACTACAAAAGATCCCATATGTCTAAAGACATCCTGGACATAAAGAAGACCAAGTTGGGAGACATGATATCATCTAATGGCAACATCTACTACAAATTAAAAAGCATGGGACAGAAGTTTGGCCCAGCAGTTAAGATGCCTCTTGGGATGCCTGTTTTAGAGTGCCTGGGTTTGAATCCCAGCTCTGTCTCCAATTCTAGCCCCCCCCCTTTTTTTTTCCAAGTTAAGCTTTTTATTCAGTGAGAGAAATGCATAGGAGAGTGAGGGCCCTATTTAAAGAGAGAGAAATCTAGATCCATACCAGAAGCCAGCCGCGTGAAGGAGCATGTAGGCCAGGAAGCTGGGGCAGGGGCCCACACTGGCAAAGGGCTAAAGAGAAGGGCTGGGCCCTCCATGTCCCAGGCCTTTAATCCACTTCCAAAGGGAGGTGGCTAATTAGCCTGATTGGCCGGTGGACACACAGGTATGGCCACATAGGGGAATGAGGTCACAGAGGGCACAGTGGTGAAGGTGTGGTCTTCCAGCTCACAGAACTGATCAGTTTTATTCTGTATGCCTGCCTGCTCCGTTCTCCCCTCAGAGACTGCATTCCCTTAATCCTAGGGGATTCTGAAGGACGCAGAAGCGCAGCCTTACATCCAGCTTCCTTTCAGTTTGCACCCTGGGAGGCAGCAGCGAGGGCTCAAGCTGATGAGTCTGCCACCCATGCAGGGACCCACATTGCGTTCCAGCCTCCTGGCTTCTGTCTGGCTTAGCCCTGAGTGTACTGGGCATTTGGGGAGTGAACGAATGAGGGAACATCTGTGTCTGAAATAAATATTAAAAATTTTAAAAAATGCATGGTACTGGGGTCGACGCTGTGGAGCAGCAGGTAAAGCCACCGCCTGCAGTGCTGGCATCCCATACGGGCGCCAGTTCGAGTCCCAGCTGCTCTGCTTCCAATCCAGCTCCCCGCTATGGCCTGGGACAGCAGAAGATGGGCCAAGTCTTTGGACTCCTGCACTCGCCTGGGAGATCCAGAAGAAGCTCTTGGCTCTTGGCTTCGTATCAGCCCAGCTATGGCCTTTGTGGTTCACTCCTCAAGTGAACCAGCAGATGGATGACCTCCCTTTCTCTCTGCCTCTCCTTCTCTCTCTGTGTAACTCTTTCAAATAAATAAATAAATCTTAAAAAAAAATAAAAAAGCATGGTACTGGGATAAAAAAGAAATACCAACAATGGGATAGAACAGAGAGCCGAGAAAGAAGCTCAGATTTATCGTCAACTGACCTTTGGCATAGGTGTCAATGTCACACAAGAACAGAGAGTCTCTTAAATGAACGCTGTTAGGAAAACTGTGTATCAATCCACAGAAGATTGGAATTGGACTCTTATGTTACCAATTATATAAAAATTAACCCAAGGCTGGTGCTGTGGCATAGTAGGGTAAGCCTCTGCCTGTGGCGCTGGCATCCCATATGGGTGCCGGTTCTAGTCCCAACTGCTCCTCTTCTGATCCAGCTCTCTGCTATGGCCTGGGATAGCAGTGGAAGATGGCCCAAGTGCTTGGGCCCCTGCATCTACGTGGGAGACCCAGAAGAAGCTCCTGGCTCCTGACTGGCCCAGCTCTGGCTGTCGCTGCCACTTGGGGAGTGAACTAGCAGATGGAAGACCTCTTTCTTTGTAAGTCTGCCTCTCAAACAAAAAATGAATCTTGAAAAAAAAAAAAACCCAAAATAAATCTAAGACCAGAAAGTATAATGCCACCAGAATATTAGGGTACAACTTTCTTTCTTTTGTTATTTTAAAGATTTATTTAATTTATTTGAAAGACAGAGTTACAGAGAGGCAGAGGCAGAGGCAGAGAGAGATCTTCCACCCATTGGCTCACTCCCCAGATGGCCGTATCCGGCCGGAGCTGCACCGATCTGAAGCCAGGAGCCAGGAGCCAGGAGCCAGGAGCTTCTTTTGGGTCTCCCACGTGGCTGCAGGGGCCCAAGGGCCATCTCCTACTGCTTTCCCAGGCCAGAGAAGAGAGCTGAATGGGAAGAGGAGCAGCCGGGACTAGAACCGGTGCCCATATGGGATGCTGGCGCTTCAGGCCAGGGTTTTAACCCGCTGTGCCACAGTACTGGCCCCAGGGTACAACTTTCTTGACATTGGCTTCAGGGATGATATTTCAGATCAAATGTTAAGCTCATGCTAGGAAAGCAAATACACACAGGACTATAACAAACTAAAAATCTTCTGTGTAGCAAACAAAATAATCAACATAAAGAAACAGGGTAAGGACTGCAAAGGATTGTTTCCTTCTACATCCAAAATAGAAGGAACTCAAGTACCAACAGCAATAGAACAAATGCACTGGTTAAAGGCCGGGCCAAAAATCTGAACAGGTATTTCTTGAAAGGGCACACAAATGTTTCACGTTAAAAAACGCCCAAGATCACTAACACCCAGGAAGATCCAATTTAAAGGCACCCAAGACAGCACCTCATACCTCCGAGCGTGGCTTTCACCAAACAAAGGTGCCACTTTGGTGCGCACTGCGGATGTGAGTGGGAATCAGCAAGTCACCGTGTGGGAGACTGACTCCTGGCTTCAGCCTGGCCCAGCCCTGGCTGCGGTAGCCATTTGGGGGAGTGAACCAGCAGATGGAATCTCTCTCTGTGTGTGTCTCTTCCTCTTTTTCTGTAACTATGCTTTTCAAACCAATAAATACATCCTAAAAAAAAAAAAAAGTTCCTGTGGGGCAGGCATCTGGCACAGTGGTAGACACCACCTGAGATGCCTGTATCTATACTGAGGTGCCTGGTTTGAGTTCTAGCTCCTCCACTTCCATTCCAGCTTCCTACTAACGCACACCCTAGGAGGCAGCCTGTGATGGCTCAAGTACTCGGCTCCCTGACACCCATGTAGGAGACCCAGATGGAGTTCACAGTTCCCAGCTGTTGTAGGCTTTTCAGTCAACCTGTGGAAGAAAGACCTGTATGTTTCACTGCCTTCCAAATAAAATGAAAATACATAATAAAAGTTTTTGAAAATTTACAGAAAAAGCATATTATTAAAAAATGGTGCATGGATTTCAAAACTTTTTGGCACCTAAATAAACCTACCTTGATTCCACTTTCTCATGAAATGTTTTGAGTTCTTTGAATAGCCAGAGGAAATGAACTCTCAAGATGACACTGCCCTCCCACGCTCAGTGCAGCACACACACAACAGCACAGCTAAGGGAGCAACTTCGGTGTCCACCAAAGTGGAGAAATGGACACAGAAAATGCCATACACACAGACGAAATCCTGTTTATCATCAAAAATGAAGGGGATTCTGTCATTTGCAACAACAGATGAACCTGAAGAACGTCCGTGAAGTGAAATAAATCAGGCACAGGAAGACAAACACTGCATGGTAACAGCAGAGTGTGGATTATGAGGAAGTTGAGGGGCTGGCGCTGTGGTGTAGCGGGTAAAGCCGCCGCCTGCAGTGCCCGCATCCCATATGGGTGCCAGTTTGAGTCCTGGATGCTCCACTTCTGATCCAGCTCTCTGTTGTGGCCTGGGAAAGCAGTAGAATATGGCCCTAAGTCCTTGGGCCCCTGAACCTGTATGGGAGACCCGGAGGAAGCTCCTGGCTCCTGGCTCCTGGCTTCAGATTGGCACAGCTCCAGCTGGTTTGGCCAATTGGGGAGTGAACCAGCAGATGGAAGACCTCTCTCTCTCTGCCTCTCCTTCTCTCTCTGTGTAACTCTGACTTTCAAGTAAATAAATAAATCTTAAAAAAAAAAAATAAGAAAGTTGAATTCATGGAAGCAGAGAGCAGAATGGTAGACACCAGGGGCTGGACGGAGGTCGGCAATGGGGTACAAAAACTTAGTTAGCATGGAGGCCTAAGCTCTGAGGAGCTAGGTCCGCTATGGTGGCTACACTGAGTCATAACATACAGAGCACTTGGACATTGCACAGACAGCACATTTTACATGTTCTTGAGGGAAAGATGGTAGCATGTGGGCTGAGGCATACCCTGTCCTGCTTGATTTAATCATTGAAGATGTATACCTGAACCACAACATCACCTTGCACAATGTAACAATCTGTTACTTACCAACCAAAAAAAAAAAGTTTAGGATGTGAACAAAAGTACAGGTACAACAATCCAAAACAATAAATACCTAAAAACGCAGAAAATACCACATGCATGGCCCATGGAGGTGTAAAATACCCACGACCTAGCTGTGCACACAGCCTGCCCCTGCTCTTGCTGGACTCACACCACACCATACTGTCCCCCGGTCCACACGAAGGGGAAAGAAGCGAGCCCCAGGTAGCACACCAGGTCAGCGGCACTGGCTGTTCCGGAAGCGTCCTGCCCGTGAGGACATCTGCTGACGCGAAGCGACCTCCTCACGCACTCTAAGCAACCAAACCATCTTCTTTCTAGCTCTGCTCTGCGAGTCAGCGCCACGGGAAAGGTCACCTGGTGTCTGCTTCCACCCAGCATGAATCCCCTCCTTTCCCAGCCAGACCGGGTGAGCCCAGCCTCCTCGACGGGAGGAAAGCAGAGACACAGCGGCAGCCCAACAGCCTTCCACAGGGGCAGGAGGCCACTCGCTGGAGGGGCAAGGCCCACGGCCCTCGTGACCCCAGGGAGGACGCCCAGGGTCAAGGAAAGCAGCGAGTCCTCAGTCTCCCAACACAGAACTCACCTGCACCTGCATGTTAAGATGTGGAACAAGTCTTCTCCATCCTTGGGACCCTTGCGGGGCAGCTGGCCTGGGGGAGGGGAGAACACAATGAGAAGAGCCAGCAGGGCCTTTGGGGAGCAGCTACAGCTACCTGAGGAAACACCCTGAACACACCTGCCCCAGGCCGCGGCTGAAACCAGCCAGAGCCAAGATGGCCCCGGGGTCCGAGGCTTTCACAGACCAGGGACTAAGCTGTGTGGACTCGAGATCACGAGGGCACCTCAATGCCCGGGAAGGCACAGCCACCTGCGGCCCTGTCATGCAGAAGTGGCCCCGGGAGCACTTCAGCTCTCAGTCACCCTGGGAGCACAGCTTCTGGTGGGTCAACACCGTGCTGGGTGCCGGCTCTCCCATCCGCCCTGGGGAGCAGTGCCCCAGACGCAGTCACTGTGTGGTCAGAAGGCCCCAGAGACGGCGGAAACGCAGGTATCCACAGGAGTCACTGCCCATGCTCGTCACCCCACAGGAGGGTCAAGGGCACACACCCGGCCACCCACCTGAGAAAGCAGCGGAAGAGGGCCCAGGTGCTTGGGCCCCTGCACCCACATGGGAGACCCAGAGGAAGCTCCTGGCTCCCAGCTCTGGATTGGCCCTGTTCTGGAGAGTGAACCAGCAGATGGAAGATTCCTCTCTTTGTACCTCTGCCTTTCAAATAAATAAGTAAAAAAAAAAAAAAACAAAAAAACAATACAGGCTCTGGGTGGGGGGTTGCACAGCAATGGAGGCGTAGCTTGGACACCAGCGTCCCATCTGGAGTGGCTGGTTAGAGTCCAGGCTCCTCTGCTCCCAAACCAGCTTCCTGTTAATGTACAGCCTGGGAGGCAACAGGGAATGGCTAAAGTACTCGGGTCCCTGCTGCGCATGTAGGGAGACCTGCATGTTGTTCCCAGCCCCGGGTGTTGCAGGCTTTGAGAGTAAACAAGCAGACGGAGGGTCTTTCTGTGTCTCTGCCTTTCAAGTAAAGTGAAGATAAATCAACAAATAATTTAAAGCAGAATGACTGCTGCCAACTTTTATTGGAAAAAAACACACCAAAGTCCCCACTCTACAGTGTGACTTTGAGTGGGTCCTGACCTCTGGTGTCACTGTCTTCCCAGTGCCTGTGTTCTCACTGGTAAGGCTGCGACGGAAAGGCCACGAGTTCACCTGTCCCTGCTGTGAAGCAGGCTACCCTACATACGCCTGCAGCGATGCGGTACCCGTCACTGCCAGCTGTTAGGACTGGAGATCAACGACAGCACACATCCTGGACTCCACTTTTGTAAAAGAAACTCCAGTCTGCCATCGCCTTCTTTTACAAAAGTTTATGCATCTCAAACCAGCTGTCTCCTTAACGAGTACTAAGTAAAAGCACCTTCCAGAGCCCCAGGCTAAGAATGAAATTCCTCCGATTTGGCAATATTAGCACAAAGGATTCTGTGACACACCAGGAGGAAATGTTCTCTCCCCACAAGCACCCAGGGGGCACAGGGACATGATTCTGCATCAGAAATCACGCTCAAAGAACTCGATCTGAGAGCTGCCACATTGAGAACATTAGCAAGAGGCTGAACTGCGCATTCTTTGTGATATGGGACATTTATGGGAGTAATTTCAATTACTGCCATCCCACTAATTTTTCATATATTTTGGATTACTTGTGCAATGCATATTTTAAGGTGCTAGATCAGTGATTATTGTATGAAAGTAATACGAAAATCAGAGAAAATCTAGATCAGAATGGCTACTTTTTAAAATAATTTGTTGACATGGGATTAGTTTTGTACTAAACCTCTAATGTTATAAGGTGTAACTATGGCAGAGGTTTTTTTTTTTTAAACAATTTTTTTATTTGACAGGTAGAGTTATAGAGAGAGAGAGAGACAGAGAGAAAGGTCTTCCTTCCATTGGTTCACCCCTTAATGGCCATCAAGGCCGGCGCTGCACCAATCCGAAGCCAGGAGCCAGGTGCCTCCTCCTGGTCTCCCATGCGGGTGCAGGGGCCCAAGCACTTGGGCCATCCTCCACTGCCCTCCTGGGCTACAGCAGAGAGCTGGACTGGAAGAGGAGCAACCGGGACTAGAACCCGACACCCATATGGAATGCCAGCGCTGCAGGCGGAGGATTAACCAAGTGAGCCACGGCACCGGTCCCCAAAGCAGAGGTTTTTAAAACAAGACAGATATCACTGTTAGGGTGCTTGCATGAATAACGCAATGGCCAGGTGGGTGTGATTTCTGTCACTTACTAAGGTGTGGAGAGTTGGGGCTCAAGTATGTGGTTAGAGAGCAGCATTCGACCCTCTGGAAACAAAAGCACACACAGGCTTAGAGGTGGGAGATTAGCAACATACACGCATGCTGACACGTTAACAGTAACTGCCGATGGATGCTGTAATTATGGGTGACTGATGGTCCTCTTTCGAGCGCCTTAGAACACTGAATTGTTTTTGCAGCTTGCCTGCATTAACATCATCACAGGAAATATCACTTAAGTCTCCAATATATATAAGAAAATTATTAGGGACAAGCATCTAGTGCGGCAGTTAATACTGAAGTGCCTGGGTTCAAATCTCAGCTCTGTTTCCAACCCAGCTTCTTGCAAATGTATCAGGGAACGGCTCAAGAAGTTGGGTCCCTGTCACCCACATGGAAGACATAATGGTGTGAAGCTAGACCTGAAGAAGAATTTAGATAAGTTCACAAATATGTGGAAATTAAACAATATGATCCTAAACAACCAGTGAGTCAAAGGAAAAATTAAAAGAGATTAGAAAAAAAATCTTGAAACAAAAGAAAGTGAAAATACAATATCAAAAACAGGGCCGGTATTATAGTGTAGTGGATTAAGCCACTGCTTCCAACATTGGCATCCCATATGGGCACTGGTTCGAGACCTGGCTGCTCCACTTCTGATCCAGCTCTCTCCTATGGCCTGGATAAGCAGTAGAAGATGGCCCAAGTGCTTGGGCCCCTGCATCCACATTGGGAGACCTGGAAGAAGCCTGGCTTTGGCCTGGCCCTGTCTGTTGAGGCCATCTGGAGAGTGAACCAGTGGATGTAAGATATCTGTTATCTTTGACTTTCAAATCTTTATTTAAAAAAAGATTTATTTATCTGAAAGGCAGAGTTACCAAGAGGCAGAGGCAGAGAGAGATCTTCTATCTGTTGGCTCACTCCCCAAATGGCCACAACGACTAGAGCTGGGCTGATCCAAAGCCAGGAGCTTCTTCCAGGTCTCCCATGTGGGTACAGGGGCCCAAGGACTTGGGCCATCCTCTGCTGCTTTCCCAAGCAAATTAGCAGGGAGCTGGATTGGAACTGAAGCAGTCAGGACTCAAAGTGGCACCCACATGGGACGCTGGCACCACAGTGCCTCAACCTCCTGCACCAGAGCACTCGCCCCAGAAATAAAACTTAGAAGAAGGTACTATGGCTAGCTCTCTGCAACTCTGCCTCTCAAGTAAATACATCTTTAACAAAACAACAACAACAGGGGCTGGCGCTGTGGTGCAGCGGGTTAAGCCACCACCTGTGGTGCCAACATCCCATATGGACACTGGTTTGAGTCCTGGCTGCTCCACTTCTGATCTAGCTCCCTGCTAAAGCACCTGGGAAAGTAGTAGAAGATGGCCCTAGTGCTTGGGCCCTGCACCCACATGGGAGGCCTGGAAGAAGCTCCTGGCTTCGGATAGGCCCGGCTCCAGCTGTTGCAGCCATATGGGGAGTGATCAGCAGATGGAAGACCTTTCTCTCTCCCTCTCTAACTGCCTTTCAAATATATAAATCTTAAAAAAAAAAAAGGCTCTGTTGTCTGAGTCTAAAGATGTGAACCTCATTTAATAAACTCACATTGTTAACTCATTGGTAAAATTAGGATAAAAGTACCACAAAATATGACTTCATTAATAATCTACTAAAAACATGCAATACAAGTTGAGCATCTTTCATTAAAGAAAAATCAAAATCTGGGTGTTGGCATTGTGTTTTAGTGGTAAATCCACCGCCTGTGACACCAGCATCCCATGTGGGTGCCAGTTCACGTCCCAGCTGCTCCTCTTCCGATCCAGCTCCCTGTTAATGGCCTGGGAAAGGCAGCGGTGGATGGCTCCCACCTACATGGGAGGTTTGGATGAAGTTCCTGCATTTGGCCTGGCCCAATGCTGGTTTTTGTAACCATCTGGGGAGCGGACCAGTGGATGGAAGATCCCTCTAACTCCAACTTTCAAAAATAAATAAATAAATAAATAAATCTTTAAAAAAAGTTCAAAATCTGAAATACTTTGGATTTTTGAATTAGCGGCGTTCCACCAGAAAGGTCTAGGGCAGTATCCCCAAATCCACAGAACTCTAAAATCTCAAACACTTCTGGTTTCAAGCATTTCAGATAATAGATACACAACTTGTAATGTGTAACAATGGTTTAATATGTTAGCTGTTATTATCAAACACTGCATTCCCCTAATTTGTGTTTACAAAAGTAATTTAAGTCTTGTTTTCCTGTTCCTATGCTAAAACATGTACTGCTCAAACCTGCTGTCTATATGATCAATGTTAACCAAAACCTCCCCAGTCTGACCTTCACCATGGAGCTGCTATTAAGTAGCAACATTAGCAAAAAAGATTCTCTAAGACACACCAGAAAGAATGTTCCCTCTCCATCAGCAACCAAGGAGACAGGGACATGAGTCTGCATTGCAAGTGTAGCTCAAGTGGCTGGCAGTGTGTGGCATAGCAGGTGAAGCCGCTGCCCTCGGTGCCAGCATCCCATATGGGTGCTGGTTTGAGTTCTGTGTGCTACAGTTCTGTGCCAGCTCTCTGCTATGGCCTGGGAAAGCAAGTAGAAGATGTCCCAAGTGCTTGTGCCCCTGCACCTGTGTGGGAGATCTGGAAGAAGCTCCTGGTTCTTGGCTGTTGCAGCCAACTGGGGAGTGAGCCAGTGGATGGAAGTTCTCTCTCTCCGCCTCTCCTTATCTCTGTGTAACTCTGACTTTCAAATAAATAAATCTAAAAAAAAAAAAAAAAAAAAGAAAGTGCAGCTCAAAAAATCCAATCCAAAAGACGCCAAACTGACATTGCTAGCAAGAGGCTGAACTGTGTGTTCTGTGGAGGTTTACATGCACGCATTAAACTACTGTCAGCTTATCCATTCTTCATTACCTTGGACTTGTTCCCCATATAGTACACACATTACTTCTACAGTGCCTATTCGTAAAGCAGATCAGAGACGTTTACACCATATTCCGTGAGAGAAATATGAACCACCGCACAATCCAACTCTGAAAGTCTTTGATACATGTTGCCATGGGAGTAGTTCCCAATGACGTACGTCTAAACCTGTGAAGTATAAACATGGAAGGTTTTCAAAGCAAGACAAAGCCTGCAGCCGTGTCCCCCTCGCCCCACATGCTCATGGGTCTACTGTGATCACAGCTGGCTTAGGTGCCCTTTCTGAACCACAACCTGGAGAGTCGTCAGCTCACTTACATGGTCAACTAGCAGCATCTAATGCCCCAGAAATCATAGCGCACACTTGCTCACAGGGAGAAGGGGCACTGAACACATACATACCAAGATAGTGGTTCTAATCCCTCAGATGGTACCATTATGAGTAGTGCTAGTTTCTTTTTTATGAGTTCTATAGGACATTAAATATTCATACAGCTTGTCTGCAGTAATCCCATCCTAAGACATGTAACTTGGGACCGGCGCTGTGCAGTAGCGGTTAAGCCACCACCTGCAGCATCAGCATCCCATATGGGCTCTGGTTTGAGTCCTGGCTGCTCCACTTCTGATGCAGCTCCCTGCCAATGTGCTTGGGAAAGCAGTGGAAGATGGGCCAGGTGCTTAGGCCCCTGCCACCCAAGTGGGAGACCTGCTAGAGGCTCCTGGTTCCTGACCGGCCCAGCTCTGGCTGTCGCGGCCATGAGAGAGTGAATCAGCAGATGAAGATTTCTCTGTCTCTCCATAACTCTGCCTTTCAAATAAATCTTTATAAAAAAAGACATATAACTTGAGGGATCCCTCAATTGAAAAAAGTTAACAATAGGGAAGGAGCAGATTTATGATGGAGCTGGTACCATGTCATTCAGGAAAGTCAGAATGGACAGGCTGGTGATACTGTAAAAAGGGCCCCGTCCCGACTTTGAGCCTGGGATACATAATGTCATATGTAGGCTGCAGACAGTCTTCACTGTGAATCAGTCACCCTTGAAACAGAGATAATTCTGAATGCTCCCAGCTGGCCAAACGCAGCCACAAGGATCACTCCAAGCAGACAAGGGTCAGAGAAGAAAAAGATATGATAAAGAAGCAGGGCAAGGGAGCTGATGGGAAAAGGTCCTGACATATCTCTGCTGCTTCTGAGATGGACACAGGGGCCATGAGCCGGGCAATGCCTGCAGCTTCTGGAGGCTGGGAGAGGCAAGGATACCCGAGGCCTCCTAAAGCCGATGGAAAGAGCACGGCCTGTATTCAGCTGCCGGCTTTCGTGTAGTGAAATCAAATCAGACTGAGTCCTAGGACTGCAGCATACAAATCTTGCACTGTAACAACATGACAGAACAGCCATTCACTGTGTCCCAGCAGAACAACACAATCGCCAATGTGAACGGTGCTGCTCAGCTGCCCGTGCAGTCTGAGCTGGGGAGTTTGCCCAAGGCAAAGAGATGGATTGGCATGGAGGAGATGCATAACAGACATGGCCACGTTCCTCACTTTCTTCACAGAACAGTTGAAATGCCACGTTGGGGGCGGGCGTCTGGCCTAGTGGCTAAGATGTCTGCGTGCCACACTGCAGGATGTGGTCTTGTCTGGCTCCACTTCTGATTCAGCTGCCTGCTAACATGCACTTTGGAAGGCATCAGGTGATGGAGCAAGTAGTTGGGTCCCTGCCACCCGGGTGGGAGACCTGGAGTGAATTCCTTGCCCAGTCGGAGCCATTGCAGGTGTTTGGGGAGTGAACCAGAAGATGGGAGATCTGTCTTTCAAATAAATAAACATTTTTGAAAAGTCACACTGGATACAATACTAACATATTGTGCTATCAAAATGAGTTCACTAGGCAACTGAGAATGTCCCATGCGTTTTCCTTCACATGAATGTGGTATGACCCAGAGCACTGACTGTGGTCAGGGTAGCCAAGTCTGCTTGCAGACCAACAGCTCTAAGCTTCTTAGGGGCATGTATGTCCTTACTAATGCCATGGAACTACTTGACTTTGACCTTTGCAAAATACAAGACATCCCCCATCACATTCACCAACATAAACAAGTATATGTATACAATTTACCCTGCAAGTTATAAGACAGAGTTATTGGAGGGACTTTGGGTCAAGGGTCCCTGCTGCAGACTGTTTTTGTGAACTTCTAACTATGCACCACAGCTGCCTTCGTGTCTGTGTTGCCCATGGTCTCTAATCACTCAACTCAACACAAAACAGGTGCAGTTCATGTTCACCCAGCACCTGCGCTCCCAGGGCTGTCCTGTGTCTTTAGCATGTGCATTTCATCCTCATGAGAATCCCACCTTCATAAAGGTCCAAAAGCCAGGAGCAAGAAGGGACAGGACTGACATCCTGACACTATGGGTCACAGTCGGGCTCAGCAGAGTACTGCCTGCTGCCCGCTGCGGCTAGCCAGGGAGCTAAGGACGGTTTTCACGTTATTAAAGTTTTTTAGAAAAATATTTGCAGGAAGGAGGGATGGAGGGATGAGGGAGAGGGAGACTAGGAGGGGGGGTAGGGAAGGGGAGAGGGGGAGAAGAGGAGAGAAGGAGGAGGGAGAGGGGGAGAGGGGAAGAGGAGGAGAGGGGCAGAGGGGGAGAGGGGCAGAGGGAGAGAGAGAGAGAGAGAGAGAGAATGTACTCCCAAGCACAGGTTCACTTCTCAGATGCCTGCACTAGTGGAGACTGGGCTAGGCTGAAGCTGGGATCCGAAAATTCATTCAAAGTCTCCCGTGTGGGTGGCAGGGATCCAACCACTTGAGCCATCATTGTTACCTCCCAGGTTCTGTGAATTGGCATAGATCCGGCTGTGGTAGCCATTTGGGGGCTAAACCAACGGAAGGAAGACCTTTCTCTTTGTCTCTCTCTCATTGTCTAACTCTGTCAAAATTACAAAAACAAACAAAAAAACCAAAACCACATCATTTTCTTTCCTGCAGAGCTGTGAAAATAGGTCCATGGAAAAAAATCAAACACACCTGGTGCTTAATTGCACCTAAAAATGAACCCTCTCCTTACCACCCCACAGTCCAGTGTGTACCTCCAGGAGGTATTTTTCTACACTGTAAGACTTTTAGAAAAGCAGAGTACACAGGAAGGTTCTGAACCATTTGTCAAATGCTGGCTGGAGAGGGTTGCTGTGGGGAGGCCACTGAGTGACGCCGCCATGTAGTGGCACCACTCTGGGAGGTTTAGTGGGCTGAGTGGCATTCAGGATGGATATTGATGGTCAGGGAAAGCAGCCAGTTCTAAGTGGCACAAACACAGTAACTGAATGAGCATGACGGGGACGTACCTGAGCCTTGATGTGAAGATGTGTTACAATTTCTGGTCCTCTTCAGGACACTTCTTTAGGTGTAGGACAGCTGCTCTGGGGGAAAGAGAATGAGACGCTAATGCTTTCTGGATACAGGCTACAGAAAACACCCTCCGAGGAACACCTGCCCCAGGCCATAGCTGAACCCAGTGAAGGGGGCACTGGATGGGAAAGACCTACAAACCTGTAGGTGTTCCCCCACCTACCAAACTGATCATCCCTACCCACACACAGGAAACCCTACTTCCCAGGCCACCCCTTCCCTTATCTTCTTCTTCTTCTTCTTTTTTTTTTTTTGACAGGCAGAGTGGACAGTATGAGAGAGACAGAGAGAAAGGTCTTCCTTTGCCGTTGCTTCATCCTCCAATGGCCGCTACGGCTGGCGCACTGCGCTGATCCGAAGCCAGGAGCCAGGAGCCAGGTGCTTCTCCTGGTCTCCCATGGGGTGCAGGGCCCAAGCACTTGGGCCATCCTCCACTGCACTCCCGGGCCACAGCAGAGAGCTGGCCTGGAAGAGGGGCAACCGGGACTAGAACCCGGTGTGCCGGCACCGCAAGGCGGAGGATTGGCCTAGTGAGTCGCGGCGCCGGTCACCCCTTCCCTTCATTCGAGTGGCCTGCATGGCAAGCACTTTGCGATCTAAAATTGGCTTCTTCTGGCTGTTCTGCACGCTTCCTGTCATTTCATGCTAGGTTCCTGGGCCCAGTGCTCCCAGCAGGAACCACACAGAGGGGAGGTGAAGGCAGAGATGTGGACACACAGGTGACACTCACGGCTGTGCTCACTTTATAGGCCCGGCACCCAAACACTACCTCTCCCAGGCACAGCTCAGACACAGGCCCCGTCTGCGCTGACTCCCAGAGCGTTACCACCCACCCTGGCAGCGTGTCAGAGGTGCAGCCCGCCTCACAGCACGCCACCCCTGCAGATGGCCTAGAGCAGGTACCCTCACAGAGGCCAGCTTGATTACTCCCGCTGATGCTCACACAGCCCTGCCCCCATGACCCCATTCGGCTCACACACACACCTGTGTCTGCCACGGGGTCCAGACCACATTCAATCACACACACCTGTCCGCCAAGACGCCGGCATCCCCTACAGGTACCGGTTGGAGTCAGACTGCTCCACTTCCGACCCAGCTCCCTGCTAGTGCGCCTGGGAAAGCAGGGAATGGCAGCACAACACACACACACCACACCACACCACACCACACCACACCACACCACACCACACCACACCACACCACACCACACCCCACCACACCACACCCTACCCTCAGCCCCCAGCCACCAGGACACAGCAGGGCCCCAGGCCCAGGTTTGGTTCGGGTCTCCCGCTCCCTCCCTCACGGTCGTGCCAGCAGCACCCCGAGCTGGCTTCTTTCTGGGGGAGCAAACACGTCCCCTCGGGGCCCAGCCAACCCTATTTCCCCGAGAGGACAGGACCGGAGCCCGGCAGAGGGGAACTCCGGATTGCGCCCAGGTGGGACCAGGGAGAAGGAATCACCCTCCCAGCATGCCACGCTGCACGCTCCCCATAGGCCTCTGGGAAAGGGAGTCCACAACGCCCCAGTCCGCGCGCTTTTTCCCAGCATGCAACTCCGCGCAGCCCTAACAGATCCCCGGGGGCCTCTGGGAAACGTTCGTCTGCGTGGCATGGTGGACGCCGCCTGCCGAGTTCTCTGCTCCGTAGGCGTCTTACTGGTTCCTGAGCGGGCTGATTTCCCGTAGGCTCGGGGTGAAAGTACTTCAGAGCCGGGGAGCTGCGAATGCCGCGAGCCCTGGTTTCTCCCCGCTCGGAAACAGGACCGTGCTGAAGACGATGCCCCATAGACTCCAGTCAGGGAGCCGCCCGGGGCGTGACCCAGCGGGCGGAAGGCCCTCTCTCTCTCCCTCTCGCGGTCTTCAGAGAAGGATTGCTACAGATGATTGTCAACGATTACGGGGGAACAAGTTTGATAACCTAGGAGAGATGGGCCAATTCTTAGCCACATAGAACTTACCAATATTGAATCAGAAATCAAATACTGGGGCCGGTGCAGTGGCCCAGCGGGTTAGGCCGCCGCCTGTAGTGCTGGCATCCCATGTGGGCACCGGTTCAGTCCCAGCTGCTCCACTTCTGATCCAGCTCTCTGTATGGCCTGGGAAAGCAGTAGAAGATGGCCCAAGTGCTTGGACCCCTGCACCGTCATGGGAGACCCGGAGGAAGCTCCAGTCTCCTGGCTTCGGATCAGCGCAGCTGCAGCTGTTGCAGCCAATTGTGGGGTGAACCAGCAGATGGATTACACTCCCCCACCCCATCCCACGCGTGCTTCTGCTTCTCCTTCTCTGTGTAATTTTTTCAAATAAATCTTTAAAAAAAATCTAGACTAATGAGCGGCATGACTGAATCAGTAACAAAAAGTCTATCATCAGACCAGATAACTTCTACCAAACACTGCAAGAAATATTAACACTAATTCTTTAATTATTTCAAAAAATGGCAGAGGATGGCATTGTTCCAAACTCATTGTATGAATCCAGAATTACCTTGATACTAAAACCAGACAGAAGCACAACAAAGGTAGAAGGCTACAGGCCATCTCTCTTCTTCATGTGCATAGTGCAAAACGCCTCAAGACAGTTCTAGGAAGTCACATCCAACAGGACCATGAGAAGATTATTCACTATGGTTAAGTGGGATTCTCTTCAGCCATTAAGGTCAGTTCAACATCCATGAACCTGATACATGACGTCAACAGTCACCAGGAAGGAAAAAATTATAGGAACATCTCAATGAGCGCAGAAAAGGCATCTGATAAAATGTAACACTGCTTCCTGATAACCCTGAACAAATAAGTATAGAAGGAATATACTTCAACATAAAGAAGGCCTTATCTAATAAGGCAACCGCTAACATCATACTGAATGAGGAAAAACTAAGTTTTCTAAGATCTGTAACAAGATAAGGATGCCCACGTTTACCACTTATATTCAACACTTCTGGAATTCTAGCAGTTAGTCAAGAGAAAGAAATGGCATTCCAACAGGGAAGGAAGAAGTCAAACTGTTACAGTTTTCAGATGAGGTGATCCACCAAAAACTATTTTTAAAAACAATTTATTTATTTGAATAATAAAATTAATGAAGTGAAAGATGTCTACCCGTGGCATAGTGGGTAAAGTCCCTGCCTGCAGTGCTGGCATCCCATATGGGCGCCAGTTTGAGTGAGTCCCGGCTGTTCCATTTCCAATGCAGCTCTCTGCTATGGCCTGGGAAAGCAGTAGAAGGTGGTCCAGGCCCTGGGCCCCTGCACCATGTGGGAGACCTGGAAGAAACTCCTGGATCCTGGCTTCAGATTGGCACAGCTCTGGCTGTTGTAGTCATTTGGGAGTGAACCAGCAGATGGAAGACCTCTCTCTCTCTCTCTCTCTCTCTGCCTCTCTGTCATTGGCTTTCAATTAAATAAATCTTTTTTAGAAAAAGATGTGCAATAAAAACTGTAACACATTGTTGAGAAGAGGCTGAGGGTGGAGCTCAATGGGTTCCATACACCTTTCTGCCATATCTGTGCTCCCATGTCTCTGTGCCTCTATGGCAACTGGTGTCATGGTAACCAACAGGCCCACCTGATTGGCTAGTTGCCCACAACTCTGCTTTGATACTGCTTGGCAATGAGCCACGTTTGTCCATGTAAGCCCTTATAAGCAACTGGGGGCCATGGTTAGATGCTGCTGCTTGTGGCTGTTTGTGGCTGCAGATGTGAATGGGCAGAGTCTCTGAGTGTGTCCCACTGCCACCAAGGACATGAAGGCGGATACCTTTTGTGGCCCTACTGCCGTCATGGGCCAGTGGCTGTTGTGTACATCACCACCCCCAGGAGTAAAGGAGGGATAAATCTACAATGATTCTGGATTGTTCTCTGGCTGTCAGAATCCGGATCTGCTTGTCTGGAAACCGAGTTCCAGACACACAGACATTGATGAAGGACATCCCTTGTTCATGGATGGAAGAGGCAATCTCATTAATGCCCACAGCTTGGTGTGTTAATTCTCTTTCTCATTAATGTCTGTGCTTCCAGAGCCATTCCTACCAGCACCCTGTTCCCTAGCACTTAAGATCTGCCACTTGCTCTACCAGATGCAAAAGAGTGAATACAAACACAACAACGAAAGGCCTCTCTGTATCCCTCCCACCCACTTTTTTTTTTAAACTGGGAATTGAGAACAGAAGTAGCAGGGCTGGTCTCACCACCTGCAGCCCCATGGGAATTATGGGACACTCAGTTCCCAACTCCCAGGTGTTGTGAGCATACCTCATGTTAGGGATGTGTGGTTCCCAGCACAGAGCTCTCACACTTGTGAGTACACGTATGCGCTCAGCAAGTACTGCGTTCGTGCACGTGCACACGCTGCCTTCCAGCGGCAGGCTGATTCAGACACTGCTGCCGCCTTCTGTGTCCTGTAACTGTGACCGGGTCAGCAATAATGCAGCTTTTCAGGATGGCTATCAGAGTTTTAAAATCACAGAGAGAAGCCCTCAAGACCTAGTGCTACCTAGAGCGTGGCCGTGAGTTCAGGTCACAGGCCACCTACAGCAGATAGAAGAGAAGCCATCCAAGACTCCACCATAGAGCAGTGGCAGAGGGACAGGAGCGTGGGTTTCCTGATGTGATCCAAGTACATGGTAAGGTATTGAAAAGTCTCACTGGGCCCCAGAAATATCCAGCATTACAGTTAGTCGCATTTTTAAAACGTTTCACAAAGTATGGAAAACACAAAGAGAATGCTTGAAAAGAATCTGTGTGTGTGTGTGTGTGTGTGTGTGTGTGTGAAGAGAGTTGGGTCTCAGGGGCTCGGGTGTGTTGCTCCTGCTTTCTCAAGCTCAGTGCTGTTGGTAATGGCCGTAGGCGACCCCACGTGGGCACTGACAGGGCCCCGCCAAGCCTGCAGGATCCCAACTTCCTAGAACAGGGCCCGCAGCACTTGTGTGCAGGCGAGGCTTGAGAGGCAGCCATTAGGCGAGTGGTTCTGGACCAAGACTGCCCAGCGGGATCACAGGGCCAGGTCTGAGAGAAGCGCTCACCTGGGGCTTCTCCCACAGCCTCTACTGCACTGACCTGGGTGGGAGCCTCGGTGCTGTCTTCATGCAGTGCCCGGGTCCTACTCAGGGTCACGCACGAGGGTTCTCGGGGCACCGACTCCCCCCTGCATGGGTGGCTGAGAGTGGGTCAGCACCATCCAGATCCCCACTGCGGTGGCAGATGCTGTTTACGGTAGAGGCCGGCACCTGCAGGCAGGAGAGGAGGAACTACAATTTTGTTCTCAGTGTAGGAGCACCTGTTCCTGAATTTCTACAGCGCCAAGGCACAGGGGAGGGTGGCCTTTGTTCCCCTTCAGAATCCTTCTGCCTGTGGGTGTGCTGACACCATGAAAGGCAGCGGGACAGCTGGAGGGCATCTTGGCAGAGAGAACTGGAGACAGAAGAAATGGCCACATGTCAGGTCCCTGTGGCCCAGGTCAGAGGCTGCGCCCTCTTTTCTTCCTCTTGGGCCTGGCATTTTGCCATTGCAAACATCACTTCTCACATTCCTGCCTTCTGAGTGTGCTTCAAAGGACGAGTTTTCCCTTTTCTTCTGTGACCGTCAGGTGAGCTCTTTCAAATACTTCTCTCCTATATTCCAGAACCTTCTCTTCCTCCTGGCTTTTTCTCTTTCTTTTCATTTCTCTTTTGTTTTCCTTTCCTTTCTTTTCTTTTCTCTTTTCTCTTTCCCATGAAAAGTTCTCACCATGAGTTGATGACCTGTGATGTTGAAAATGGTCCCTTCCTGATGGATGACCATGGGAAAGTGGGGATACCTGACTCCTATCAGGGCTGAGGTCAGGTCCTGGATATCAGTGTAGATGATGATTGTGTAGTGTTCAGGCTCCATCTGTGTGCTCCACAGATCTGTGCAGAAATGCACACTGGAACAAGATGGGATTCCTCACCAAGGATAACTCAGAAACTCTGTAAGGGAATCAGAAGAGACCTGCTCCCTGGGATGCTACAGACAGACTCAATATTCTCTGTTCAACGGTCCATTGCTGTGGCATAGTGGGTAAAGCCACTGCCTGCAGTGCCTGCATCCCATAGGGAAGCCAGTTCGAGTCCCGGCTGCTCCACTTCCGATCCAGCTCTCTGCTATGGCCTGGGAAAACCATAGAAGATGGCCCAAGACCTTAGGCCCCTGCACCCATGTGGGAGATGTGGGAGACCTGGAAGAAGCTCCTGGCTCCTGGCTTCAGATTGGCCCAGCTCCAGCCATTGTGGCCAACGGGGAGTGAAACAGTAGATGGAAGACCTCTCTCTGTCTCTCTCTGCCTCTCCTTCTCTCTCTGTGTAACTCTTTCAAATAAATACATTTTAAAAATATATTTTGAGACTACAGAACCTGGGAGAGGTGTGTTTCAAAGCTTGTATAGAACCTACGTCTTCCACGATTCAATTCAGATTAAGCTTTACCTGCTTTTGGCCCACAGTATCACAGCAAGGGGATGTGCATCAGCACCTGCCACTGATTTGTGCTGGGACAGCTGACATTAGCTTCAGTCACCTGGTCTAGGACTCTGCCTGCTTCCTCCAAGAGGGACATTTTTCTGCATACAATGAAAGCATATCTTGGGGTGACTGACTTAGTGACGTGTATACATCACAACCTATAGTGCGAGTTTTCCCTTTTTAGGTTCTCTTTGCTCATAGCTTGCCTTGGGGGATAAAGGCTCTCATCTTTGCTGCCTATCAGCTGCCAGAGTTGGGAGGGGCTGAAACACTGTGACCTCTTGCTCGGGTTTGCATTTCACTGTGCTCTGGTCACAGGTGAGCTTCTCATCCTGCTATT